ATCTTTGCCAGCGGCACGAGCACAATTTCTACAAGTTTGTCCACGAGGTGCACACGCACGATAATGGGCTGTTTACGCAGTTGATGGGGTGGATTGAGGGCATTCTTGAGTTCCTGCGCCACGGCCCGAAGAACGGGAGATTAGACATCAACGCGCTGTTCGAGGGTGCTATTAGCACCGGGGTGGTGGATAAGGACAAGGCAATCGAGGAGATTGACAAGTTGATTGCCTGGCAAGAAGCGAGAAAGAAGTGGCATCATGACAAAACTAGACAAAAGATGGCTGCTGAAGGCGGAGGGCCGGGGGTGGATGGGGTGCCGATGGCGTTCAAGTCGAGTGATTTTGGGCTTGATCAGGAGGATCTCCAGGATATGGCGTATGATGAGGACTCAGAGTCGGAGGCGGAGCTGGAGATTGAGGATGAGATGGATCCGATCGAGGCGGAGAGGAGGAGGAGGGCGAGGAGGCAGGATAGGTTGAGGAGGAATGCGGGGGAGCCGGCGAAGCCTCAGGTGGAGGAGGTGCATAAGTTGAAGGAGAACTTTCTGGTGATGCTTCGGATGGTGTTGGCTGAGTAGAATGGGTCAATGGCATACGTGGGCGTGGTGAGGTGTCATCATGGCCACGAGAACTGGAGTTTGGGGGGGTATGGAGTGAGATGGAGCATATAGAGGGGTTGTTTTTTTGTCACAACTTGCAGTACTGGGCTTGAAGGAGAGTAATTAGGGGTAAAGGGGCTGGTCGTTATGGAGGGTCGAGTTTGTTCAGTTTGTCCAAAATGTCGGTCGAGTTACACATCCATTCGTCGTGAGCTTGCAAATCGAATACCAGAGGGGGATAGATTACTTCCTATTTAAACCTACAAGTAGCTGAGGAGCGATGAGTTTGTCGTGGCGTTGGTTGGTTGGGACGGTGGTGGTCATCTCAAGTAATACAACACTTTTAATATTTGTTTACATTCACCATTCATTGCACCCAGTAACGAACCAACCCCTGAATTATAAATCCGAGCCTCCCTATAGGCAGTGTGTGCGCATGCATGTCACCTAACGGCCGGGCAAGGCAGTGGACTACTGCTGGTATTTCATGTATATACACTTCAAGCCGAGGATGTCCGCCGTCCGAAGGCTTGGGGGACCCAGACCCGCACATGCTTTTCCCGGTTTCTGTATCCGGTGTGAAACCAACTGCGGTAAGAGCATCTCGAGTGTGGCAAAGATTGCAGACGAGACAACACATGGGAGCTGTGGTGTACCACGTGTGATATGCAGATATTCCGAATCCAGACAAGACAAATACCCAGACGGGAAAGACGGAAGCAGAAGGGGGACACCATCTTCCAGTTTGAGGCTCTGAAAGAAAGTTGCGACGGTCGCAAGGAAAGAGAGATCACCAGCTGGTAAATGAGGCGAAAGCTTACACGCGATTGGCCACTCGGGGATATTGCCAGCCGTCGACGGGACGTCATCGTCAGGAATTCAACCCCATCCCGCCGTGGAGGAGGGGCCACACTGTGGACCACAAACACCCCTGCGCGCGGATTTTCCAGCGGGCGGGCGCGGTGTCGGCAACTCGGGTAATCAACCAGCGCTGATTGGTCGATCGAGGCTGGAACAGCCTTTGGTGCTTCGGGTCGTGGAATCATCGAAGGAGCCAGCCGGGAGAGGGAGGAGGTTGTGTGCTCGGGTCTGTGCATGTCATTTGAAAGAGGCTCAAATATTTCGGAGGAGGAAGCAAGTTGGGAAGCATTTACAAGACGACATCTCCCCTCCACAATACCCCCCTTCCCCTCTCTAGACGACGATGGCATCCTCAATGGCTTGGAGAAGGTTAGCCGCGGCGCCGGCGGTAAGTTTTATAGTTTTTTTCATTTTTGGAGGAGAGCTCTTGTTTGCATTTGGCAATTGGGGGGTGGTTGTTGCGTTCGCCAGGCGCAAGCCCGCCAATGCCGAGGTGTTTGGAAAAGTCGGACTGACGACAGTTGGGAATAGCTTCCTCGCGCTCTTAGAACCCCTACACAGAGGGCTTTTTCCACAACAAGACCGGCTGGTGAGTTCTTATATGCTCCTGATTGTTATATTATACCGGTATTTGCGAAACACCAGATGGACTGACTCTTGCAGCCCGCGTTATCGCCAACGGGCCCCTCCGGGCGAAGGAGGCATCGCCATTCGTCAGCAGCAAGTACCCTGTTATCGTATGTTTTCCCTCCCGTCGAATACAACCCCCCCGCCTTTCACCCTCGAGAGACTGTCCCGGCTTTTTGGAGGTGGAGGGAGGGGAGGAGACACAAAGCTAGAAGAGCGCCCAGTTGACACATGAACGCCTCTGTTGTAGGACCATGAGTACGATGCGATCGTTGTTGGTGCCGGTGGTGCCGGTCTGCGTGCCGCCTTCGGTCTCGCTGAGGCCGGCTTCAACACTGCCTGCATTTCCAAGCTCTTCCCCACGAGAAGTCACACAGTCGCTGCCCAGGGTGGCATTAACGCCGCCCTCGGCAACATGCACAAGGACGACTGGAGATGGCACATGTACGACACAGTGAAGGGCTCCGACTGGCTCGGTGACCAGGACGCTATTCACTATATGACCCGCGAGGCTCCCGCTTCCATTATTGAACTTGAGAACTACGGCTGCCCCTTCTCCAGAACCGAGGATGGCAAGATGTGAGTGGATTTTATGAGATGGTGTCAAGAATGAGAGGAGGCTGACAGGTTACTTCAACAATAGTTACCAGCGTGCTTTCGGTGGTCAATCCAAGGAGTTCGGCAAGGGCGGCCAGGCCTACCGCTGCTGTGCTGCTGCCGATCGTACCGGTCACGCTCTTCTCCACACCCTCTACGGCCAGTCCCTCCGCCACAATACCAACTACTTCATCGAGTACTTCGCCATCGACCTGATCATGGAGGATGGTGAGTGCCGCGGTGTTCTCGCCTACAACCAGGAGGATGGTACTCTCCACCGTTTCCTCGCCAACAACACCGTCCTTGCCACCGGCGGTTACGGCCGCGCCTACTTCTCTTGCACTTCCGCCCACACTTGCACTGGTGATGGTATGGCGATGGTTGCCCGTGCCGGTCTCCCCAACCAGGATCTCGAGTTCGTCCAGTTCCACCCTACCGGTATCTATGGTGCTGGCTGCTTGATCACTGAGGGTGCTCGTGGTGAGGGTGGTTACCTCCTTAACTCCGAGGGTGAGCGTTTCATGGAGAGATATGCCCCTACCGCCAAGGATCTTGCGTCTCGTGACGTCGTCTCCCGGTCCATGACCATGGAGATCCGTGACGGCCGTGGTGTCGGTCCTGAGAAGGACCACATCTACCTCCAGCTCAGCCATCTTCCCGCCGAGATTCTTGCCGAGCGTCTCCCCGGTATCTCTGAGACTGCCGGCATTTTCGCTGGTGTCAATGTCCGCAAGCAGCCCATTCCCGTCCTTCCCACCGTCCACTACAACATGGGTGGTATCCCCACTCGCTACACTGGTGAGGTTCTTACCGTTGATGAGTCTGGCAACGACAAGGTTGTGCCCGGTCTCTTCGCTTGCGGTGAGGCTGCTTGCGTGTCTGTTCACGGTGCTAACCGTCTGGGTGCCAACTCTCTTCTCGACTTGGTCGTCTTCGGTCGTGCCGTTGCCCACACCATCCGTGACAACTTCACCCCCGGTGCCAAGTTGAAGCCCGTTGCTGCTGACGCCGGTGCTGCCGAGATCGAGACCCTCGACCAGCTCCGCACCGCTGACGGCCCCAAGAGCACCGCCGAGATCCGTCTTGCCATGCAGAAGACCATGCAGCGCGATGTCTCCGTCTTCCGTACCCAGGAGTCCCTTGACGAGGGTGTTGAGAAGATCAACCAGGTCGACCAGACCTTCTCCCAGGTCGGCATCAAGGACCGCAGCATGATCTGGAACTCTGACCTTGTTGAGACTCTTGAGCTCCGCAACTTGCTCACTTGCGCGTAAGTACCATTTGAAAACTTCTTTTGGAAGAGAGCGCAAAATGCTAACAATTGAATTCTACAGTGTCCAAACCGCCACCGCTGCTGCCAACCGCAAGGAGTCTCGTGGTGCCCACGCCCGTGAGGACTACCCCGAGCGTGACGACGAGAACTGGATGAAGCACACCCTCACCTGGCAGAAGCCCCACGGCAAGGTCGACCTCAAGTACCGCCGTGTTATTGGCACCACTCTCGACGAGAACGAGTGCAAGCCCGTTCCTCCTTTCAAGCGTGTCTACTAAGAGACTGGAGATTGATTGTTGATGGGGTGCTGCTTTAATTTATATACCATGTGAGGAGAGAGAAGTGTTAGCCCGGTTGTGGGGAGGTTGGTTGGCATACACAAAGATCACACACACTACAGCATGAAAGCATGGCGTCGAGGTCTTGGGAAAACGGTATGGGAGGTGATGGAGGAATAAAAACTGATCCGGCCGAGAAAATACGGACTGGTGTGAGGCGGAGAAGGAGATATTCGAGTTTACAAGGAGAGGAAGGGGGGAAAGAAGAAAATGCCCCGGGCATGAACGACACACATCCACACACATACAACCCTATGTTTTCCTTTTACTGTAGTCTGTGTTTGTTTGTTTTGTTGTCATTCTTGTTGCCCCTTGTTATAGAAATCGGGGCGGCGGCGCGCGCGAGAGAGAAATGGGAAATGGATATTCAACCTTCAATTGTGTAAAAAACTTGTTTCTTTTTTGTTGATGGTTTGGTTTGAGGGGAGGTTGTTTTTGTGTAAGCTTGTATACAGACTGAGAGGGGAAATAAGGGGCAGTGAGGGTTGAATAAAATGCATTGTAAAATACTTTTTAGCTGCCACCTTCTAGTGTGTGAAGTATTCATCTCTCCACGGCAGGTGAGCGCCTCCTACACAAAAGGGAAGCTCCCCGCCACACTCTGTCAAATCATTACCACTGCATAAACTCGGCAAAAAACGAAGCCATCAACACCCGACCTACCGAGTCAAGGTGGGAAAGAAAAGACAAAAATTAGAAGAATTGGGGGCCACCCGGGGATTGAACCCGGGACCTCTCGCAAGTTTTGTTTGGCTACAAATTGTAGATTAAACAACTCAGGGTGGACCCTAAGCGAGAATCATACCACTAGACCAGCGGCCCTTTTTTATCCGGATGGATGGATGTGTTGTGTGTTTTCGGAGGTGGAGGAACGGCTCATTGACTGACGACGTACACAACAAAAATTCTCGTTCCAGCAGGGCTGTGCGGTGAAGAGTTCGAGTAAGGTATTTTGGCGGTAAGGGACCGACCGTTAAGTCATACTGTGAGAAGTGAAGAGTGAAATTAAAAATGCCAAATGGGGCTGGGTGAATGGGGAGTGATGGAGCGGATGATATAGGGAGGTTGTAAATGTGAGAATACAGGATGCAATTGCTGGTTGAGACATACTCTCAAAAAGAAAAAGAAAAATCGGGATTCACCCCTCCCTTCCTCCCCCTTTCTTTTGGCCTGCGCTGCTGGTTCTCCTCTTGACTCAAGAAATGCGTTTATTTCGAGGCATAACCAACAATCACACACAACAGGCACATTCTCCCCCTTTTCTCTTGATTCGTTCGTTTCATTCAATATCTTTTCTACTCTTTCTCTAGTAAAAAGTGTTGAACTTTCCTTCCCATTTCCTTCCTTTTTCTTTCAATCAAAAATCCCTGCCTGCTTGTTCCACCCACCCAGTGTCCGTATAAAAAGCCCATCCACCCCGCTATCCCATTTACTTTGTATTTATTCGTCTTTTTTCATACATCAAGCCAGACGACCTTTGCTGTGTCCGGGGGTATCTTTCATTATTTATTTCCTTGTCTTTTTACTTCATTGTGATCACATATTTAGTGGTGGAACAACCGAATGTTCTGCTCAACAAAGGTAATCCCCAGCTTCTCGGCCGTCTCGAAGACGGGGATGTCGTTTTGGCTGCCGAGGGGAGCGGCAATGTACTTGACGCCCGAGCGGGAAGCGCGGTAAACGTTGTCGGTGAAGGGGAACTGTTTTCAACAGGGTTAGCGCCTATGTTCCCACACTCAAGACAAGGTAAACCTACGAAAGCATCGCTGGAGACAACGACATCGGTCAGCTTGCCGAGCCACTCGGACTTCTCCTCCTCGGTGAAGGAAGCAGGGACCTCCTCAAAGAATCCCTCGAAAGCCTCGCGCTCAGGGCCGGACTTGGGCACCTGGCCACTGACGAGCAGGTCAATGGCGTTGCTCTTGTCGGGGCGCTTAGTGCCCTTCTTCCACTTGATGCCCAGGACACGGGGGTGGAAACGGAGCCACCAGTTGTCGGCCTTGTCACCAGCCAGACGGGTGCAGTGAATTCTGGACTGCTGGCCAGCGCCGAGGCCAACAATCTGGCCTCTGGCAGCGTAGCAGACAGAGTTGCTCTGGGTGTACTTGAGGGCGATGGTGGCCACAGTCAAGTCCCGCTGGGCGGTCTCGGAGAGGGGGCCGGCGTTCTTGGGAGTGATGATGTTGCGGAAAGTCTCGGGGGAGATCTCAACGTCGTTGCGACCCTGGGCGAGGGTGATGCCGTAGACGGTTCTGGTCTCGCTCTTGGAAGGCTCGAACTCGGGGTCCATCTGGAGGACGAGGTACTTGCCACCCTTCTTCTTCTTGAGGATCTCGAGAGCAGCGGGCTCGTATCCTGGAGCGATAACACCGTCGGAGACCTCCTTGGAGATGATGCTGGCGGTGGGAACATCGACGATATCGGAGAGAGCAATCATGTCGCCGAAGCTGCTCATGCGGTCGGCACCTCTGGCGCGGGCATAAGCCTGGGCAAGAGCGGAGGTCTCAATGCCGGGGATGTCGTCGACCATGTAGACCTTGCGCTCCTCGGCAGTCAGGGGCTCGCCAATGGCAGCACCGGCAGGAGAGACGTGCTTGAAGCTGGCAGCTGCGGGCTTGCCAAGAGCCTTCTTGAGCTCCTTGACCAAAGGCCAGCTGTTGAGGGCATCGAGCAGGTTGATATAGCCGGGAGCACCGCCGAGAACCTTGAAGGGAAGCTCACCCTCCTTGACGTAGGCGGAGGCAGGCTTCTGGTGAGGGTTGGCGCCGTAACGGAGGGGGAGGTACTGGATGCCGGTAGCATACTGCTTGCGGAAGAACTCGGAGATGGCAGCATCGTAGTCGGCGGTGTGCTCGAAGGCCTTGAGGGCATATAGTTTCCGGGTAGACTCCTTGACCTCACCGGCCTCGAGCTCTCTGAGGAACTCGGCGTAGTCCTTGGGGTCACTGAGGATGGTGACACGAGAGTGGTTCTTGGCAGCAGCGCGGATCAGAGTAACACCGCCGATATCGATCTCCTCGACCGCTTCGGGAACGGTGACATTGATCTTGGCAACGGTGTCCTTGAAAGGATACAGGTTGCAGATGACATAGTCGACCTTGTCAATGTTTTGCTCAGCAAGGTCCTTCTCGTCTGAGCCGAGGTTGCGGGCCAGGATGCCGGCGTGAACGGCGGGGTGAAGGGTCTTGACACGGCCACCAAGCATCTCAGGGGCTTTGGTGATGGCAGAGATGTCCCTGTAAAAGGAGCATGCTGTTAGCAACTCCGCCCAATAATGACTCACCCATGAAGCTCAAGCCGGGTGGCCGACATCGAGGTCCAAGACGAGGGAACTCACTCGACAGGGAAACCAGACTCCCTAATCATCTTGGAAGTGCCGCCCGAGGCGAGGATGCGCACATTGTTCTGGACAAGGCCCTTGGCCAGGTCCAAGAGTCCCGTCTTGTCATAGACAGAGACAATCGCAATTCTTTGGTGGTCGGCCATGGTGACTAGAGTGTATGTTGCGCGGGGCAATCTGTAGCGGGTGGGAAAGAAGTTGTAAAGTCAGTCACTATGCTTCTGATAAAATATGACGTGTGTCGGGCACTCTTCCACCGCTTTCAGAGACGAAAAAAACACCAAGAAACGGCGCGAAGCTTACCAATTGTGTTCTGTCTACCACTCTCTAGATGTTACAGAGAAGAAAAGAAAAAAAGATCAATCACACCATGCGTCTCGCCTCGTCTGGAGGGGTCTAATATTTTTTGCGACACCTCCCTCCCCCTTCCGTCAACTCCCCTATCAACGCTAATGGAGGGGTAGCTACGGGTGCAATCTGCCCCACGATTCGCCGTGATCGGGCATGACCCCACAGCTGAAGCAACAGTGGTGCATCCACTCGACTTACCTAATTGCCGGGCTGGTCTCTGTTTGGATTGGGGCTGGTATAAAATTCTCTTGCGGTCCCTTTTTCACATGGCATGTCTTTTCATCTTCAGCCTTTTGGTGGTGATTTCTTGTCATCAAGACATTGCGATGCAGTTGGGCTGTGCGTGATAGCTTCAAGAGCTTCATTTAATTGAAGCTCCTTCCCTGTTATTTGGGATAGAGATGGAGCATCCCACTGCCCAACGGCCAGCCGAAACTGTGCTGCGGGCCGGCATACAGCTGTGTTGACTATTGACCAGCAGTCCGCGCTCGCCCGGCGAGGCCCTTCATATACCAGTGTCCTGGAGCAAGCTTTCGCCCTTCGGGGCATTTGGTCAATTTGTAAGTTTGGCTCAGTGGTCTGCTTCTGGCTTGCAAAAAAACTAACATCTCTTCCAGGAAACGATACAGAGAAGATTAGCATGGCCCCTGCACTAAGGATGACACGCTACTCAAAGAGACGCTACCAATTTTTTTTTACATTCTATGTCCTCGATATGCCCTGCAATCGCCTCGAGATTCCATCCAGAGGATAGGTAGGTGGTGGACGTCGAAGAGGTCAACGTTCGAGTCTGGCCCGGGCTATCTTTATTTTTCTTATTTTCAGCGCATGCTTGCTCCCAGTGACCCCAACACCACGGCATTAGTGTGTACAGCTCTGAGCCACTCCCGTACTCTTTTAGCTGAAGGATAATTCTTCGTGCCAAGAACAAAACCTGCCTTGCTATTACCAAACACCTCTGTTCTTTCCACATAGACTTATGGTGCATGAAAGCTGGGCAACATCTCAGTGATCTTCAGCAAACCTTGATATTTAGCATCATCAAAAAATACAAAAGAGTATACAAAACTGCAATACCCAACGCCTCCCAATGCCTTGCTATTTTGTCCAAAAAGCCTTTGTTTCCAGAAACCGCCATATATATTATCCAAAGAAACTTCCCCTCAGTGACTCCAGATCAATCTTGATACAACCGCCCCAACAGCCCCTTCTCCCCAACTCCCCTCCTTTCCTCGTCCTCAGCAATCTTCAAAATCAGCTCCCCGAATAGCCCATTAGCCCATCCGAACCAACTTCTTGTAAAGTCAAACTCGCGCCAGGCGTTCACCGTCTCATGGATAACACCAGCCCCCGAAGTAGAGTTGAGCACCATCAACATCTGCTCCCCGACCACTTTCTCCCTTTCCTCATCCGAAAACCCAGACAGATCCTCAAACGCAGTCAACCCAGCGACAGTTGCCGCCATCGGCCAACCCTTCCCAGGTCCAAGATGAGGGCCACCAACTGCCGAGAGCGCGGGACCCTTAGCGTAATACGGGTTAGCCATGCTCAAGACAAACTTCCTGGTGTTCTGGTAGATTTTGGCATAGTCGTGGTGCTCGGCTTCGGAATCGGTTTCCTTGTCAACAGAGTTCTTCTCGATTGTGCCGTTGCGGCGGCCGAGGTTCTTGTTGATGGATTTGAGCATACGGGAGGTTGTCAAGTCGGCCTTGCTGTTGGTGTAGTTCCACAGCGGGAAAGCCAGAAGAGATGGGACGTTGGCGTCATCCATCAAGTTGGCACCGCCATATCCATCGACTTCATATGCAAAAATCTCGCCAAAGTCACGATGCTTCACAACGGCATCCTTCGCAATGCCATAGCGGATAGTCTTGGCCAACTTGCGCATCTCTGTCGTGAGGTTGTCGGCCTTAGGGTTGAGTTTCTGTTCGGCCAGTCCTTCCATGATTACAGAGGCCTGTTCAAGATATGCGGCGAACATCATGTTGCTGGGGGTCAGGAGCTGGAAGATGCAGGCGTCATCGCTGGGTCTAAAAGCCGATCGAACCATTCCGTTCTCTTTAACAGGGTTGCCGAGGCCATCGTTGGTCAAGGTTTCGGAACCGCGGTTGGTATAGCCTGTAAAAGTCCA